ACCTTTATTCTTTTCTTCACAATAAGGCTTTCAAATAAGTCATGGTTGTACGGCAGTGAAGCACCGGTGTTGAACACTGATGTCATGCTGTCGATGATGATGACGACAGTCTGTGGATTCATTTAACGTGTCTGGGTAGACACCAATTGTGAGTCCATCCGAATAGTCCGGCTCAAAACATATACTCATCTAGCACGATCCCGACAAACCTTTTGATGACTTTTACATTCTGAGAATCTCTCAACTTCTTGTCCCTTTTGAATGTTGTCAGCCTTAAGACTACGACTGTGCCTTGTATGAATTAAGAGAATAAGTCGCTCACTTTCCTGCAGCTACCCGTACTTGAAGACTGTCAACTAGACGACAAACAGCTTCGTAGGTGAGATTTTTCTCCGCCATGTCCTCCTCTTTCGCTGCCATACGACGCTCCAATCGACCCAGAGTGATCCACAACTCATGCTGTGATGGATCCTTCCCGCCCAGTAGTCGCAGTCTACCGGGAACATCGGGGTCTTCCGCCAGTTCTACAAGTCGATTGAGTTCCATTCGGCTTCCGACAAGCTGAATAAAACACCAAAGGCAAATTAAAATGACTTGAATATGGAAATCGCCACCAGTTTTTCCCTAAAGGTCGGTTAAAAACGGCTTGTGCCTATGAACTGGATCTGGCTGGCTAGGATGTTCTTATCCCTATCGTGGCTCCCGAGCGGGCAACCAACCTCGTGAGACGAAAGAGAATAACTCCATATGAGAAGTAAACCTGCCAAGATGGCCTATTATTCGAAACAGAATACTGTCGACATCGCTGCTCAACCTTGAGCATGACAAAGATTCTCCTCGTTGAAACGTTTCTTAAACTTACGGATCAGAATTAACGAAATGACACAACAAGCAGATAAATAAACGTTCCATAATGCAATCATGATATAAATGAGACAATTTAAGAAACACGTTGTTCTGATCGCAGTTTATCGCCAAGATACTACTCACACAATTCGCTTTTAGTAGTGTTCATTTGCATTCCGTTTGCGCTCCCAACCTTGCAGAAGACAGTGTCTTCTTCCTGGCGTTAAAGCGTCACAAACTACCAAAAAGATTTTCATCCACTTTATATCTGATCTTTTTTCGCGGATTTCTCAATTCGACACAAACATCCAGCAGTGGTCCGCTTGGGTTCCAAAGTTCCATTGCGAATCTACCAAAGGGTACCTAGAAATTCTTGACAGTCTCCCGCCATTTTGCTGGAGTTATGAGTAATTCATTTGTCCTTTGTAAACATTGCTTCCCTATATTCTGGTGTATTCTTGTGGTTTTAGAGTAAACTCAGGGTTGATAAACAATTCTCTTGGTGCCATTTTCTCGACATTCAACTACAACGACCAACCAATGTGCCCACCATCAAAGTTCACATCGTTCACCATGTAGGAAGCGTACTTCGATTAACAGTACGGGTGGCTGATCATAGACTTGGTTGTTGACCAAGAGGTTGCTGTTCTGTTCTCCGAGCTTGAAAGTTCACTTGCAAAAACGAGGAGAGCGTCATTAGTCCGCAATAGTTCGCTCCCAACTGTGCTTGTCGACGGAACGTTTGCAAGCGGATTGCCAAACTCAGTGACGAGATCAACAAGCAATAAGTGGACCCTGGCTACCAATATTTTGGCGCATCACCTCAAAACAGTAGTCGGTTTGACCTGAGACATACGTTGTATTGAAAGGCTAAGCTCCAAAGCGCTTGAAATGACCTCCAAACATTACAACTTCGTTGGTAAGCAAACAGCAGATAGCCGAAAAAAACCCGAGGATAGGTGGATAAAGCAACGACCACTAACCTGATGGATCAGTCCCTGTAATTCGGCAGAGAGCTTGTTGTGTGTTGGTAGCATTCTTCGAACAAGGTCCACGTGTCTTGCCAGATCATTTCGATACCGTTTCAAAAACTCATATTCTTCTTGTATGCTCAGAAGAGTCAACTGGCCTGCTCGGGCAGCCGCGTCTTGTGCAAGAATACGCTCCTAAAACAAAATAGGTGGTCGGAAGTGGGCGTTTTAATGTACACACACTGTTTTGGTTTTCATGACCGTAAAACGTGGTCCTTGTCCACTGGCAATCTGCATAAAGAGGGACTTGCCAAACTAAACGATTACCTGGCTTTCCGGTTTTGTCATTTAAACACACCGAGTTCGCTATAAACCTCCCAGAGGAATCGTTTCAGAGAGGTTGGATAAACAATCGGTGGATTTACCACTGGGCGATGTTTCGCTTTTGACACAGGAGCTTCATCAGGCCAAGTGAGTAAGTTACCAGGTTGATCAGGTTTCAAGGTAGTCAGGAAATCAATCCGTAGGATCTCCTACGACGGGTCAGTGCTGGGTGTCTGTCTGGATTCCCCGTCTGTCCGTTAGTGGGAATGACTAACACTTACGATAGGGGGGCGGGATTGTTGAAGCCGGGCTTTTTGGCTTTCTTTTTCCGGTCTAAGGCACCTTCATGGGGTTGTCTGTTTGCGTCGAGGGGATGAGGAGTGGCTAAGTGGGTCCTACTCTGCATGAATTTTGTACTTTTTTAAACCAGACCGGCTGCAAGCCACCTTGCATCACCTTGGTTGATCTAAAACCGCTGCCAAGTTTGTCTGAGTGAACAGTGAATTTTCCACAACCGCAGATCACTTAACCTGACAGCTCCGGGAACGTCCACACAGAGCCGTACAATTAGAAGGGTCGATTAAGTTCTGAAGACCGGCGTTAACTGTCCATTCTGGCGCACTACTCTCACCTGCGGATATACCTAATTACCGAACAACAATCCAGCTAACTAGAAACAATTCTCACCTTGGAAATTCGATTCCAGATAAACGGTAACCAATGACGGGGGCTGTTAGACAAACGGCGCACCCGGTTTTGGAAAAAAATTGACAGCCAGTTTGCTATGAACATTTTTTGATTAGGCTCTTTTCGCCGATAGTGAAATCACTTAAGCGAACGGCTTCACCCATCGAACCCTTATCCTACACAGGATTTCAGGGAAACATTGTTTGCAGATAACTTTCAGACGACCGTCAGAACAGAATCGAAGTAATGCGCTGATACTCTTGTACACCTTGCTGTGGTTTCCAAACGGGTGATCCGTATGAATCCAGCTGATTCTCTAGTTTATGGTGTGCTTCCTCAACTGAATGGACTGCAGAAGGCCACCTCATTTTGAGTAGTATGTTAAGTATATTGGGGGTGAGATGGACCAAGTGGTTAGAGCCCGAATTTATTGACCGGAAGGCCCGTGGTTCGGACCCGATATCTGCCTCTCGACTTCCCCTGTCCAGGCTTGGGCAACCCGTCACTATCCCAGCCTCGTGATTCCTTCGGGTAGCATGGCAGCTAGGCATCGGAAGGGTGTTACAGCTGGGCGATTCTATTATATTAGGAGCGAAGTCACCGGCTACATATTTGGCAAAACCGGGAGCTCACACATGCTAGTCGCTGTTTTGGTAGATCCTAGGAACAGTGGACTGACTAGCCGCGAGATTGCCTGAGAAATACTGATATAATCGAAATATTTCCGTAACTCTTCGAAAAGAAGTTTTGCATGCATGGAAAAAGGTGCGCGCCCTCTGAAGTAAAGCTTACAGGAGTTAGTACGTTATTTCACAAACGAAACATAAGGTTTTCCTCTGATGAATAGGGCAGTTTGGGTCATGAATCGCGACCGAAAGCCGTGGATGAAGAGCTGTGGTATTTAGCGACGACACATTTGGATGACTCTGGTGAATTAAGGTACTAATGTCGTGCTAGCCTTTGTTTCATCGTCATGCTGTCAATGATGATGATGATGATGATTGTATCAGTAACCTGTGGCACAACTTTCGTATGTTGCTTGGCAGTTCAGGCTGAGAAGTTTACTCATTTACCTGACTACACAGCATCCCAGCCTTCGTACCTCCCTCGTGTGACATGACAGCTGGGCACTGAAAAGGCTCTACAGTAGCCGGTGGATCATCAACCGGTGATTCAGTTGGAACTCAGCTAAGTCTCTCGTTTAGACCAAATTAGTTGGCAACTGAGCATCCAAATTGGATTCATGCAGAACCCATGGTCGATGGAAACTCGGGGACTGCGTCTAATTGATTAGCCGTAAGAAAGGCAAAACCGTTGGTGGGTTGTCGAAGAGTTTTCAGAAACTATACACCTGAAGTTCAATTTGCCGTAGTAGTCTAAGCTAATGGGTGGAAGAGGAGAACTGAAGGTGGAATCAAACGAGGTGGCGATTTCCATGAGCACTGCATGGGAGGAGATGGGAGACAATGATCATCACTCACTGGGATGCCTGACAAAAATGAATTCACCAAGACATACAGATGGACCGGTTCTAATCATATGATATGAATATATGGAGCACCAGTACCGAAGGTCCGATATGAACAGCGGCTCCGCAGTAGCCCTCACCGCCATTCGGTCCGCAGAAAATAGCCAGAAATCCCTGCATACACTTGAACCAGATTAAACTGGCTTCAACTAGAATATAAGGTTGACGGAAACTCGGGGACTGCGCCTCTCTGACGGGCCCCAAAGAAGGGTGAAACCGGTCGTGCGCTGTCGAAGAGTTTTCAGCAACCTTGTGAGTAATTTTCTTTATGAAAATAAACTGGATTCAGTTAAAAATTCGGAAGAGAACAAAAGGACTCGGTCAGCACAGAACGCACCTGAAGGATATAGACTTCTTGATTGCGTTCAATTAGCAACAGTGCACGTTCATTACGAATCTGAGCGCTGCGTTCTTTGGCTTTCTTGACACCTAACGTCTCGGCCTCAGTCTGGTTGAACATGGAATTGATACGATAAATGGAACGTCTCATTTGCTCACGCCTGGAATTTTGTTCTGCATGCAGATGGAGTAGTTTACACAATTCGTTTCGCTTGTGATCTCTTTGCACAACAGAGCTCTGGTACAAGGATCGTTCCCGGAACAATTCCTGGTCTTGCCGTTGCAGACGGAAAATGATGATTTCCGCCTCGTTCATGTGTATGCGTAGACGTTCGCGCGTGTCCAATGCGAGTTTGACCGAAGCCTGGAGAAGACTGACACACTTGTTGCGTTCCAATTTCATTTTTGTATACATGGCTGATACATCTGCCAAACGGGACTAAAAAGTTTTTTTTTCAATAAAGAAATGCGAAATATCGTGCTTTGACAATCGAACTGTGATGAAACTGTCTTTAGTTTATCAAAGGATCAAATGTCCGTTAGAACCTTGTTTTATGTAGATTCAAGACTCATTATGTGGGAAATCAAAAGCTTCTGTGGCCCTCATTCAAAACTCAAGGTAAAAAACGCTTGATACAGAGATAAAACTGCCTCGCGCAACACAAACCGTGCAAATGATTGCCACAAGTCATGAACACGGCTTCAGGGAGCAAGACATGCAAAAGTACATCCGAGGCATCGTGAACCTACGAACAGATAAGAGTCCCATAAATGATCGAATGGGAAAAACCAGGCACTGCGCTGCTGCCGAACAGTCCACGTTTCGGTTCGTCATTGTATCTGATCGTATCAGGATGATCAGATTCCTGAAAGCAACCACTGAATGCCCGAAAACTACCGAGACTCTCAGCTCCGCTAGATGTTAACCAGATATACAACGCTCCCTCAATATGCAACCCCTCACAGCCTTGTATCAAACCCAGACAGCGCGAGTCAGCGTTGATCAAGGTCAGACAACGCCCCCGCAATATGCCAGCAAGTCAAGCCTCGTACCAAGGCCAGACTGTGTGCGTCAGCATTGGACGGGGTTCAAACAGTGTCCCTCCAATAATTAGCTTGAGACCGTTGTACATTCGCACTCGCACCCACTCACGCCCACGCACTCGCTTGTTCGGAATATAGCTGTTGTGTTCGCTTCTGTGAGTCTTTTCTCCGGCACTGGGCACTGGAGCGGGTCGGCAGCAAATACCACGGATTGGCGAAGCAGCAGATACAACAGATATGCATCTATGCGAGACTATACAATAAATAATAAATAAAGAGATTTATCAAAACTGAGTGATCTTTGTGCAGCATAGTTTACGTCCTTTGGCTCACGAATAGCAATGCTGCTCCGTACGCCCCAAACATAATAGAACATGTTGTGGGAGACCGACGTTTTCCACTTTCGTTCTTATTTCTAGCATATTTGCTTCGTCTGAGTGGGAAATTACTAGTCGGGCAGTTCGGATTCCCGGGTGGACATTCTGAACTTCTTGGAATCTAGTCAGTAGAGATAAGGAGCGCGTTGGGTGAGCCAGCTGTTCCAGGGAGATGTGTCCTCTGCATTACAAGCAGTCACGGTAGATGGAACAGCTGGCAAGTGAACACAACTGTAAAAGTGGTGAGTTGTAAAGTAAAGCGAAAGCAGGAAAGGAATGTCGGAGAAGGGGATTGAAAAGTGCTGTCAAGGCAGCTGAACTACCAGATCTCCTTGCAGTGCGGAAGGAGGAACTACCTAATTCCCGAGAGAATGTCGAGTGTTCATGTGATTTTTCGGTCTTGTTCTCTTACCCAGCAAAGATAACTGCTCGGGTTCATAAAGGAAACTGCTCACAAGGTTGCTGAAAACTCTTCTTGTGAGTAGTTTCCTCTATGAAAATATACTGCGATATCTTGAATATCGTGCCAACTGAATCATAAAGCGGCCTGTGTGTAGCACATTCAGTTGAAGGACATCATAAACGAGAGATTCAGTGGAGTCTCCCGTGAAAACCAAATTGATTTGCAAATGAGTGTATTGTTCGGGTTCATATTTATAATCATTTACCCGAGAATGAAACACCGAAACGTCTCACCGCATTGCCCAGTTATGTGGCCTCTTGCGAATCAGATATACAGCGTTTTTCGTGTTTAGTATGCGGTATTGATACTAACCCATAGCTTTCCATTTCTCTTCATTGTTCTCTTCAACGACCCATGAATGCATTGCGAGGTATCATGTTAGCCATTGTGCAATTTCGAAATACACTGATTTGCAAATCAGTTTCTTTTAAACGGGAGATTCAGCTGACTCCCAGCTAAATCCCCGGGTTGTGATAGTCTTTAACTGAGTGGGCTACGCAAACTCCATTCCTTGTTTCACCCGGAGTGATATTCGAGATATCACAGTAAACTGACTAGACAAATTTCGACAAATTTGCGCATCAATTTGGTTCTGATGGGTGACCCAGCTGAGTCTCTTTTGTGGTGTCGTTGAGCGACTGAATGTGCTGCACCAGGCTATTGAATCTAACTTGACCTTATGATAATTCCCCCATTCATTTGCTTACTCCGCCTATGTACTTCTGGTCTCCTTTTTTTGCTTATTCCTACCAGCCACTCACCTTGCTACAGAGGCCGTCCTTTCCGACACTCCTGTGTTGACAAGTGTGTCTGTGTGAATGTTCGCTGCTTACCTCTTTACCTATGCACTTTCGTCTCGCGTTTGCTGACCCTGCCTTGACTTGTTTTCTCATGGGTTCCGTGTGATCGCACGTCCAATAAGAATCAAGAGACCGCCAGTCGAAGGGACGACCGCAACCCACGCTGCTGAGCCATCATTCCGCTCACCGTTGTTTGGTGTGCGAACGTTGACACTGCCCTGTGCCGGTCAGTGACAGACCTGTGAACTTGTTAACGCTACGAACGTGAACAATTGTGGTTTGTTGTACACATTTGCTTACCCATGCGTAAATAGTGCCGTAGAATTACGAACCCAATTCTTCCTTTTGATATTCGGGATTATCGAACCTACGCGTCACTCGGGAACCTCAACAAAAGCTGCCTCATGTTTCATTTGGTACGATATTCGCAATACATTTTATAGACGTGACACATTACTCATTAGGTTGCTGAAAACTCTTTGACAGCTCAGAGCCGGTTTTGCTATTTGTTGAGCTCATCAAGTAGATGCAGTCCTCGAGCTTGTATCCATTTGAATCCAACGACTGCTGCTGACGTTAAACAGCTTCGCAAACTGTTCGTAGTTTACCTGTCGGTTACCTGACACACCCTATGCATACCAGCACCTCTAGACGTGCATAACCTTCCTGGTAAAAATTTCACTCCGAAAATAAGCCGTCAACTAAGAGGCAATGGAGGACGGATGGTTTCTTCCGTCATCTTTGTGATGCTGTCCGTGGGACCCAGTTGGGATCCATGCGAGTGTCCCATCAAGGTCATATTGGTAGGCAATGAGTATCTTTAGAAAATTGTTTCCAATTTGGGTTCAGAGAGAACCCAAGTTTGACGGAAACCCCGGGGACCTGGTGAGCACCAAGAAAGTCTAAACTGACTGTGAACTGCCAAGATGTTTCAGAAACCTTGAGAATGGTGTGTTGCGTCAAGCCAACAGCCATGTCATGCTTTAAGATTAGATGTTCTTATTCACATCAGTCGGGCAAGTCAAAAAAGGTTGGGTCCCCATTAGATGGATGAACCAAACTACCAATGAATATCGCTACTTAACCAAGTGGAAATTACGCCTAGATACGCAGTGGAAGCGTAGGGGAATGGTGCCCTACATCCCTAGAGAAACCGACCAACAGCAGGGTCGCATAGAGGCCCATTTTGCGAACCATGATCAATACAAACCCAGCAGATAGAGACAAGAACTTGGCTACGCGGTCCGGCTACGAAATGGTAGGATGACAGTCTCAGGAATCGGTTGCGTGATGTGTCATTCAGGGTCTGCAATCCACCTGGGTCAAGGGATCTTTCACGAGCGCTCGAATAGGCCGAAGCAACTTAGACGATCAGACAGACGAAGGGCGCATCAGTCATTTAGTCCCCAAGTTACTCATCTTGAAACAGTTATCTTCAACGACACTGGACAAATTCTTCAAAACAGTGCTCGGAACATTGTGCATTTTGGATGAGAAGCATAATGTTCGTCTTTGTAGCCCGGGTTTATGCCAAGACTCCAAAGGATTCTACAGTGAACTTCTGAATGCGTGGCGAATTTTGTAAACTATTCATTCAGTTGCGATCGCTCTGCCTTTATCCTGTTCCTCTATCCATCTGGAAGCGTCTGCATTTTTTGTCATATACGCTTTTAAAACCGGTGTCACAAACATTTCCATTCTACCGGTCATTACACAATCCAACTGACGTAAAATCAGTTTTACAGTTTGCTGAGTGCTGCTCAGCAGAACACAGCCCATAAATGCTTCGCCGATAACCTTGTGTTGTAATGGACAGTTAGCTCCTCTAATGCGTGATCAAACTTGCAGACGGTTACGGCCAATAATTGCGAGAAAAAAGTTTCGAATCGCTACCATCACACGGCACAGGAATGATCGTTTTGCCACTTTAACCGTCCGTTTGATGAAGGTTGGCGAACGCATCACGTCACACACATATCAATCACAGGCATACGCGATCGGACGCATTCGCGGACAGAACGCATTGGAGAGGTTTTTTCACCCTGTTGATTATTCTGTTACACGCTAGACTAGATGTCGTTTTGTATGGCGTGCCTGAATCCGCCTAATGGACGCGCAGCCAGTGAGTACTCATCGGTTACGCTTGTGTTTCTGTAATTGGTTGGTCGAATTAATCAATAGCAAGGAAGGGTACAATGTCATGTCACAGCGGTCGATAAAAGAGTTTAGTTAACAGTGTAACGTGCGGACGGTGAACTGGAATCAAGCAATCTCAACCTGCATGTAGCTGAATGACATTACCCTGTCAAAGTGTAATTCAATCCCACAGTGACTTAAGTTCCGAATTTTGCCTATAGTGCTCAACGTTTTGGAACTGGAATAGCGAACATGTGGTGCAACGTCCGTCCGCACTGCTGGAATGGTCCGCTAGACCATTCTCGTGGACAGAAAACCCAGACAAAAGAATGAATTCTGCCTTCTCTGTCTATCATAAAAGGTCTCCTTTAAACCAGATTGTTATATCTGCTGATTCGCCAATCTGTGGTATCTGCTGCTGACCCCCTCCAGTGCCCAATGCCGGAGAAAAAAGACTCACAGAAGGAAACACAACAGCTATATTTCGAACGAGAGCGTGAGCGAGAAGGTACAACGTTCTCAAGCTACTTATTGGAAGGACATTGTCTGAACTTGGTCCAATGCTGACGCACGCGGTCTGACCTTAGTAGGAGGCTGTAACGTGCTGCATATTGCGGGGGCGTTGTCTGACCTTGATCAACGCTGACCCGCTGTGTCTGGGTTTGCTACACGGCTGTGACGCGCTACATATTGAGGGGGTGTTGTCTGTCTGGTCAGCATCTAGCGGAGCTGAGAGTCTCAGTATATTTCGGGCATTCGGTGGTTGCTTTCAGGAAGCTGACCCTCCTGATACAAATACATCGAGAGAAGCCTTAGACACAAGTCGAGTCCTGCAACTTGTCAGTACTCTCCACGTCAGGTACACTATGCTAAAGCACTTATCTGTCGCATGCATCACTATTCAAGGTGCGGTGCCCACAGGCCACTCACTTTTTGGTCACACTAAATCACCAATATCAAATCTTGAAAAGGTTAACTTTTCTATCCCTATCTGCTTGATGAGTTTTGACTCAGCTGCAAACGCACCGCTTGGCTATTGATCGAAAATTGCGGTCGTGATTCCGCTTCGTGCTCTAAATAATCGATGTCTCATTTGGTTGAACGAAAGGCAGACTCATTCTTCGTTTATTACAGATAGTTTATCGTTTGCTTACCACATTAACTTTATCAGCGACTGCCACACCATAGTTAAATGCACACAGTCCTGAAGATATGAGAAGTCCCAGAAAAACTGAGGAATTCGTAGCCCGTTAGCAGTTTTCCAGTCGACATTGGGAATCACGTGAACAATCTTTCTAATATTAACTGGAACGTTCACATAGAGGCGCTATGATTGTCTTCCAGTCCAAAAATATCGACCGCACCTCCACAGAAGCGGATGTTGAACATTTTTGACCAACTTATTGAATTCAAATCCAATTCTGTTCAGAACGAGAAGCGGTATAAAACCAAGCTAATCTGTCTGGTAATGTCAGTTTAAGCTGAAAACTGTTTCGTTTAATACGTCCAAGTTTTTTGTCGGACGAGCAGTCTAACAATATGCTACTGGTGCAGATTATATATGTATGTATTCTTTCAATACACTTATTCATTTCTCCCACTGAATTCAATAAGATCGACCCAACCAGTTGTCATAAGGCCCAGCTTTGCCACCTTTTAAAGTCCCAAACCTCATGAATGTGTTCTCATAATTCTAGCTTGGAATGCTTCGTCTTCTCACCGGTTAGCCAAGTGGCTGGTAGGGATGCCCAAGAAGCCTCTGTTACACAGTTTTTAAGAAACTACTGGCTGCTTCAGTGTGTCAGAGTTTGCGCGTGTGCGTGTCCGTTCGTCGTTCCACCATCGATCTGTCGTGTGACTTGCCGATCGATTGGCTCGCGTGAGCGCTGTGGGTTGACTGGATATGTACTCGGTTGTTTGCTGACCCGCCACGAAAGCGGACCAAGTTGGCCGCATGTACATAATACACCCATGTCCCTACTTACGTGTTCTTCTGACTTACTGTGAACTACAATAGAGAATTACCATGAACTTCTGCCTTATCACGAGCACACTATTATGCCATATACTGCATAGTTGAATACGGCAAGGTGAAAACCTTCTGTAATATTTGTAACAGCAGTAGACTAAGACAAATAAGTGCAATCAAAAGGAAACGTATTACGGAATTTGGGAATGAGCCAACTTACTCCTAGTTCATCCAAGGCCTTCTGATGTTCTTGCATTTCCCTGTTCTTCTCCTCAAGATCTTCCAACAAGCGTTCATGCTTGTTTCGTGCATTTGTGTACTCAAAAATGGCTTTACCCAAGCCCTCAGTCAAAGTCGTGGTTAACCGAATTAGCTCCCAGTTCTCAGCTCTCAGGTATTCCATCAAAGCCAGTCTTCGTTCAGAAGCACCCACTGTCCTGCTCAGATGAGCAACTTCGGTGGCGGTATGTTTATGCTGTACATTGGAAGAAAAACAGTGGTTCTCTGGAGAAAACACTCGTTAACTCTCATTGGTCCAATCGTTGTATATAAACTCAAAGAACTGTAAGATTTAAAGACAACTTTTGAAAGTCTTATTATTGGAACGGAAAGTCTATACCTCATTTCAAGACAGAGAGGGTCAGTCTCTTGCAAGGTGCTCAAGGGGGTTAGTCAGTCCAGTTAATCAGGTATAAACTATGTACCAGGGATATATTAGCTCCGTCTTTCACAAGTTCGGTCATCAGAAAATTGGAGAGCGCTACCTCATTCATGATTGGGGCATGTCTCCCGCGTCACTGACCACTGTTGAGTTTAGTCCCGAAGTCCCCATCCAGGGAGAAGGTAGGCGGCAACCGGAGTGAGTTTGCTGCCAAGTCATAAACCGACTATCTCTCGGTTGCATCTACTCAGCTGGCTCGGCAAAAAGAACTTTGCGATACATACGGCCCTCTGGAATGGGCAGAAAATGTTCCAACCAGCTTAACCTATGGAGCGTAAGTGAATCATCCATCGTGGGAGGGTACCTTTCATCCAGCGTACCACAGTAGCGCCAATCCGACTTTCTCAAAAGACCCAGTCAGCGAATCGGAGACACTGATGATCAGGCGCTGACAGCTTTCATAGGTTCTCCGAGAGTAAGTCCACCTTTTCTGACTTCACCATTGCAAACAGCACACAGTCTCTGACAAACAAAATGACATTACTGCGGTATTATCAGTAGTGGAGATTGGCAAAAGGTGCTCTGGCCTTCCGAACACAGGAAGCATTCTCGTCTCCAGCCAGCTCACTTGCCTAGGTAAACAAATTTACCTGTGACGTCGACTGGTTTGCCTGTAAGCACGGGGTTTCGGGTTTTATCCCACCCACTCTTGTAGCAGCATTTAACACTTTGGGGGCGTGAAGTGCACACCGAACCGTGCGACAGAAGAGCAATATGGTCCGCACCCTCAATGCCTGTAGAAGAACGCCCCGGAGGTTTCGAAGGAAGGCATGGGAACTGTTTTAGCATCAATAACAATTTGAAGAGGGAAGGCGAGAGAGCACACCTGTCTTACATTGTTGGACTTGGTGAGCTCGAGCGAAAGCTTGCGTATACCTGTCCGTAGGAGTTCGCACAAAATGTCCTTACATTAGATATAATTTCAAAAGGTACATAATCGATCCCTAGACACCGTCAAATATTCGGACGATCAACAGCGTCAAAAGCGGCTTTCAGATCAAGAAAAATGACCAGCGTGAGACGTTCGAATTAGTCACTTAGTTCAAGAACCAGTCTCAAAGTAGAAAATGGTCGATGCATTCTCAGCCAGGGCAAAACTGTCACACCCTGTAATCGATTAGCCCGCACAAAAAACGCCTGAAAGCACACTGGATGCCACGGCTGTTAGACTGATTCCACGGTAGTTCCCGCATGACTTTACTGTTCAATTCTTAGACTGGAAAGCTGAGATCAAAACCACATACCCGCCATCCTAGTCCGTTGCATCGCCCGCCTCGGGCACGACACATCCAATAACCGAGTTATCTGAACCCCACGTAGGGTTGTATTTTTTTCGCGTAACAGGATGATATCCCCCAAAAGACTGCAATAGGGATGTACCAAAGCTTCAGTTGGGCAGATATTCAAGATACTGATGAAAACTCCTCCGTAGTCTGGTAGTAGGAGTGGTCTCCGGGTTTTCGGAAAACATATTTTCCACGGAGATGGTAGAACAGACTTCAAGCAGATTCAGATGAACTACGTGGGACCAATGTTGCTAGCCCTGGTTTGTTCGCAGAACCAAATTCGATTGAATCATCAGTGGGTTTTGTGGAGTAAGTTGGAGGTGACCAATTCGTGTGTTCGAATATCTCCAGGTGGGTGGAAGAGAGCCAGAGGTGGTCAAACAATGACTTGGCAGCGAAGTATGAAAGCCATTACCAGCAAACTCAGCTGCGCTGGTCATTGCCGTCTTCCTGGATGGGGACCCCGAGACGAGCCATATCAATGACTAGAGACATTGTCAGACATGGCCCAGTCGCACACTCAACAGCGCTCATGCATCCAAGCTATTGCCTTCAATGCATAGCTCCCTTCCCAATCCCCCCTTGACCACCCACTGAAAATACTGGATTTATGCACCAATTTATCAGCTCCCGCCTCCAATGCGCAGCTACCTACCCCCCTCCAAATCATCGGTGAACCAAACTGCGGCAGCTACAACCACTGTACGAGTACGCGGTTATTACAAGTGGCAGTGACGATGATGATGAGATCCAATAAAAGATGGTCGTTTGACTAGGATGTTGGCTAAATATAGGGTAAATGTTGGGTCAGTGGTTCTTCCAACAATCGCCCGAACTATTGAAGGTTCTTACATAGTTCCACGATTTGTTTTCTTTCTCCGAATGATTAACACAATCCATTATGTGTGACCCTGGAGAGGAGGGGGAAAGAAATCTGTTGTATCAAAAGAAACCAGTTTAGAGAAGCCAGATTCTAAAATGTAATCTGTCTTCTTGCTTTGGGAAGAGTAAAATAGACAATGTGGAGAGTTTCGCGCAATAATGAGAGTCTAGACACAAATGTTGCAAGAAAAGGATTGCCACTCAACCAAAAACTAACTAAATGTGCCCAGACAGGGAAAGCTTGTGAGCTTGTTGAAAACCATTCAATGAGTTATCATGATTAAAGTGCCCACCCATTCACAATAGGCTTGTTAGATAAATTAGTGAAGTTTCGCTGAAAAAGAAGGAGAGACTTTGGTTGCCATAGGGAATATCAATGCAAATGATGTTCACAGATTGCGAACAGGGGGATCTTTACTAAATTAGAGAAAATAACAAGGAAAGTGGGATTGGTCTTTGGGAATGGCCAGAGTTTTTGGTGTATTGAGCAGCAACTCAGGCTATGAAAAGGCGGGAGTGTCACCCTACTATCACTGCTCTGAGGCTCGGATAGATCCGAACATCCGGTAGCAATAGTGACGGGGCGTACATCAGGAATGATAGTGTACCTGGAGAAAGTTAGGAATATCCCCTACAGACAGAATCCCTAATCGAAGGATTCCAAGCAATGGAGCGGCACTAATTTGTGCAAACATATCCGTAACAATAGATGATCCTTTCTGAAAGCATGGGTAAATCCGGCGAGTCAGTAAGTCAGTAGGGAGCAGGTGACAAAGGCGCGTAGTTCTAATGAGATTGAATATCGATTATCCGGACCGCATGCTTTGCTAGTTGATGTCATTATCATCACCATCATCGTCATCAATAGCTGTAACAAACGCGTACGTGGTGTACAGTAGTTATAGCTGCCACATTGTTGTTCGGCGACAATGTGTGGATATTTCAAAGGAGATAAAGTGAAGAAAGGAAGCAGGCGGGTTACTGACAAGGGAGAGGAAAAGATGGTCTTTTTTGATTAGGAAGCATCTACGTCTGGCTATACCACATGCGACAAATCATGGCAAATACGGCTTCACAAGATGGTTCTCATGTAGAACACATTTAGACGTCCAACTGTGGTCTTCATAAGGCTTTCAATGAGGATAGCTCTACACAGCTCCAGTTGAGATAATCCTCTGGCCGCCCACATATTGGGGGAATGCTCGGACTATCTTGAGGCAAAAGTTCGGGTGAGGCAGTCATGTCTTATTTCCGAAGAAACTAGACTATGCTGCCTAAGAGCAACTGAGTCCCAGGGTGTTTTTCTAAACTCACCTGCGATTACACATAAAGAACTGCTTGTAAAAGAAATGAGGTTGAAGGACAACAAGTCCGTGAAACGTGGATTTCAGAGTTTCGTACGAGGCAAGTGCTAGGAGAACACTGTAGTAAGACTGGAACCGAGTTGACTGTTAGTGATTGGGACCCATGTAATAAGATTGTCTCACCTAGACGACCGTATACTCCTGGCGATGGCAGAAAGCTGCAAAATGACAGTTTCTGAAGATATCATACCCTTCCGAATAGACTTCTTCATTATTGATTTCAAGGCGGAGGTTGGACAGTTGATTTCTTAGTATGTTACGTGTTGTATCGTGAGTGGCCGTCTATTGATTACCCCTGAACTGAGTCCGCCAGACTACGCGATAAGGAGAAGACAGAGAACCCCGGACACGGCTGTATTGTCAGGATAAAACATATAGCTTCTGCGTAAATATTCATATATAGGATTACTAAATGGCCAAATATGGTCATTCACTTGTTCGTTCTGTACAGCCAATGGCGGTGTTCCGGTCATGAACACTTTCAGGCCCACTATGCTGGTCGTATGTTGCTAAGCCGTGTTTGGTGAGCTCCGCCAACGGACCTGCTTTCCGAACGTGTCGTACCGATGGTGACCTTGGGGATGCGTCACTCTCTGCACATGTACTTTTCCCATGTCTGGGCACGCCCTGACATTACGGAAACTACGAGAGATCCACGAGAAAAGTTATTGCAGAATGTAGACCACCCCCAAAAAGGCACCTGGGCTGAAAAACCTGAGGGTGTTTCTGAAAGGACTTTAATACGCTGTGTTATGCGACCACGATCGATTATCGGCAGTTGTTTATCGCACAAGGAGTTGGCTTTTGGAGTGCGGTTCGACCTAAAATGATGCGTACCTGTTATACATATATATGCATAATTGCAGGGGGACATTGGTATGTGTAATATGGGCTTATTCAAATCGCACTTACCTCATCTTCCAGTTCTTGCTGAAGGTGACCAATGGCTCTGGCAAGTCGGCGCTTCCGCTGCAACATTTCCCCATCATAACGTGGAGTGACAATGTATCTTGCCCTCGCTTTGTCGTACAGTTGTTCAACAAGCTGTGTGTTAAAACACAGAGAGAGGGAGTCAAGCCCCAGGGGTCATCTGGTGCGCACCAAAAAAACCGTTGAAAGCTACATTACCTTGACATTGTCTTTCAGAACTTCGACCTGAGTCTGGAGCTTTTTGCAGTGACGAATGTATGCATCTCGTTCTCTGGCGAGCTTGGTTGTTTCCTCAGCTATGTCCCTGCGGTCTTGTTCCGCAACATGAAGGCGTTGCAGATAACGTGCTCTGTAGTGGAACAAAACAATCATTGACTGGGAAGTCAGTAAAAACGGATGTATCAGCTAGAATGGAACATCGATTGCTGATTAGTTAATCTATACAAATAGCACAAGTATGAAATAAGTTAATACTGGCGACAGGTAGAGTGAAAATGATGGTTTGACCTGAGTGACATGGCATTAAACAGACAGGTGAGCTTAAGTCAAATTCCAGATGTCGAAATTCACTACTTTGAAACCAAACTGGTTGATAAATTAATTTTCTTGACTATTTTCCTCGTTAACTGCACAAAAAGTGCTTGGGAATCACTCATTTGAACACGGTTTTACAAGCCCTACTGCAGTGCTTTTGATAATCTCATTGTTATGGCCAAGTCTTCAACAAATTAACCCCACTCCTACAAAAACATCTTCTAACAGAGACCATTCTTGGGAAATTCCAGGTCAGTGTCCTGCATGAGTCATGTCTTTGTATGCAATCCTTTCGAAGGGCAGTAACAAGAGGTGTCAAGTAAAGTGCTGCCTTGTTTGACCCTACACCCTCGACACCGGTCAAAATGGTACTTTTCTCCGCAGGCACACTCTGTTTTGAATGGACGAGGCTACAAAGACTCACTGCACAAACTCAGTTTCCACGACCCTTATGTTCTGTTTGAACGCAGACTGTAGGAAATGCGCGAAAATCGAGTAATCCGCCTTAAAAAAGGCGAGGCTTGTCGTAGGCTGTCGAAAAGTTTTGAGCAACTTTTTGATTGGTTTTCTTGTAGATGATTGATTTGTGTTACAACCAGTGACCAATCAATACGCTCCACTACTGATGATCTCGTCTCCATTGGTCATGAGGCGTTTGTAGTCGAATTGCTCAGCTCGGTGAACGACAATCTACGCCAACATTCCACTGAGTAGTTCTCTTGAAGAAAAAAACCTGCGATACCTGACACATGGTGGGATTCAGTTGGGTTTTCAGTTTAAACCAAACTGATTTGTAGCTGAGTGCAATTTACGCTGGGTGGTGTGCATCACAGGAATGTTATCCACTTATTGAGCAGCTAAGATTTGATAAAGTGAAGTCGGCTTTAGCTGTTTCCTGCCGATTAACCCTCCTTTTTGATATTGAGAACTTCCAACTACTAAATATTTCCGTTGCTGTTCTTAATAATGACGTTTAATTGATGAGTTTTATTGATACCAAAGCTACCGACGATGGAGTCATTCTTCCAGTTTGGTGTAACCCTCCTGCGCACTTTCTTCAGAGGACGAAAATTATAAGTTCACTGGATCGCAGTAGTCATCGGACGCTGGTCCAATTTCAGAGGTCAGTCTCACCAAGCAATTCTGCGTAAAGATTCGAGATTTAGCGAAGGTGTTAATTGACCTCGACATGTGCTGATCTGGGAAGAAATGTGCTCACCACGTTGAACGTACTGTGACAGTGTAATGTGCATTCGGCACTGTAAGTTAGTAAACAGTAGTATTAGGAGAACCAGCTCCGAACGTAACGGGACTATATAGCAGCCAATGGAATAACCGTTTTCGTTGAGACAGATTTCATTGGCTGTTCTTCACTCGTCCTTGACACATGAGTTGTATTCTTAGGGTCACTTTTTTGACCCGCTTGTACGCGGCAGTGATCAATAGATCAGCTGGTTCGCACGGTCGTTGGCTTCTCCTGGTTTGGTCAAGCGCACCAGGTTCACGGTAAAGGCACTAAGGAAACAGTGGTCCACAACAAGTAGATAGCACCACATGGAAAGGAATATTCCCAACAGACATCTACTGCATTGCTCATAATGAAATCTTAGCACTACATGGAAAGGAATATTCCCAACAAACATCTACTGCATTGCTCATAATGAAATCTCCAACAAAATCCACGTCATCTTTCCAGTTCTTCACAATTAGGAGTCCTGTTACAATCCGAGGGCAAACTAAAGTAGGCTCCGAAAGAATGCTGTTCTCCGACACTGTATCGAAAGAAACCTGGTCATTATTTGAGGAAATCTTGAGATGTATTGAGAAACGTGCAATAGCTAGGTTTATTTTCAGTACCAAAGTTATCTCTCTGGGGTAACTCACTTTTACCGAAACACTCTAGTCCCCTCAGTAATTTAGTTGGAAGATCGGATGGAAAAAGGAACAGACGTCACAGGAAACAAAGCCAACGAAATCGTACGATCATTACTAAGATGGTGAGCTTTTGTTGGACTCAATGATAGCTTTTTCAATCCACATCTCAGTTTATCCAATTTTTGGCCTCTACAGCTACAAATTTGGCCAAGTCCTCTATATGACACATTTCGAAGATTCCTGGTAATTGACTTCACTGCTTCGCTACCCTGACATTTCGTCGAGTGGAATAGAACGCTAAAGTTTTGCCGGCGAAGTTTAACCTTCTAGAGTCAAGTTGGCGCAAGTCTAGAGAAAACTGTCAGGTGAAAAAAATACGACTCGTCTAATCCAAATGAACCCAACATCGCCATCATCAGCAAACTGACGATCAAACAAGAATAATCAATCTACAAGTGTACATTTAAGTGTCGCTGTTCGGATAGTCATGTTAAAGAATACAAAATTATGGCTTAACAGTGGCGGACCAAGAAAACGCTCACTTCTCAGTGCGGTTCATCATTTCCATCTCATACCAGGAGTCATGCAACTTGACCGTTTTGTCGAGCACTTCTTTTTGGTTAATGTTAGCAATCCGCAAGGTTTTGAGTTCCCTGAAAAGAAATTAACATCGCAAGAAGAATGGGGTAGTCAGATGAATGCAGATTGGGAGAAAGAATGAACCTCGTAATCCAATTCACCATTTGTATTAAAAACCGGTCGCTGGTCTTGATAGTATCGGCCCGAACTTGTTAGTACAGTGGTCATATGAACCATCGATCTACACTCGCATGATGAAGGCCAATAAAGACGTAAAGCATAGTGTGCCACTCTATTGTTTACTAAAAATTTAAACTGGGGCACCCATTAGGACAGCCCCATTTTGAAACCAATTTTGACGCGCTTGCAAAGAACCTATGGTTTCATAAAATCCGAACAACTCAACAGATGTGGCTATCAAATTTATCTATCATTGACTCGAATCGCCCCTACAGCGGTCACGTGAAGCTGATGATGCGAGAACCGCACCGTTGATGTATGGTCCATTATTCAGGCGATTTCTTCCCACCCGAGTCTGGTTAGCACCAAACCATTCAATGGTCACTGAAGGCACGCAAACTGGAGAGCGACAAGTAACAAATTGTGATAACTCAATTTTCATAGTCAATTTCATAGTCAAAACTAAACGTCGCAACCAGTTAAAGCGTTTCATGTTTCTAATTCAATTCTAGCTGGGCGACGGAAAAATACTTGTTGGTGTTGACCTAACTGGCCAGCTCCCGACTATTTGACAGGATCAACACTCGAAGAAAACGTTAGAAGCTGAGATAGTATGTATGGTCGCTGGTTGGTTCGTCAAACTAGACAGCCTGAAATCGTATTTCTCATTACCTATTGTGGTGAGGCTTTGGAAACTCTAGCTTAGCAGTGAGTCGATGGTTGTGCTTTGGGGAAGGGTGCACATGTGCCACTGTACGAGATGCTGACCAGGACTGGTTGTGAGTGGTTGTTCGATCGAGCGCTCCTATTGGTTGATTGTTATCGCAGACCACATGACCATTACGTTTCTTATTGGTCGGTAGTCGACTGAGCCCTGACTTTCACTTCCAGGGGCTCCACGACGTAACTTTTGCTGATTCCAAAGTGGTTTATTTCCCTCGATTTGCTAACCCCACAGTCGGCCGGTCGAGATGCTCGTCCTTTACAGCTTGAAGCCAGCTCAATATGTGGGGTGATTTGAAGCCCGAGGAGGAAGCCCTTTTGGAAGTCTAATTGATAGTTTGGCTGTCTTGTTTACATTCTCACGCTACTTGTTCCACCTGCTGATGGAACCATCCGTGATCCTTTGTTGAGGTGAATCAAAGTACTGTTTTCTAATCTATTTCCTAAATGTCCCCTTAAATGTTACGCTGAATTTCCTAGAATGCAGACAGCTCTAGCGTCAGTCTCCTCAGGTGAAGTAATTACGGCTGGTGTGACTTAGCAAGTCGTTATGCAATAGCGATACGAAGCCGTTCCAATGGATATGAATCGCACTCAGTATCTGATCAACCTTATTGCTGATGCCTTTTATCCTTAGTCGACCAAAGCAAGGATAATTCAGCTCGGCGGTGGAAGACGCAAACAGATCAGTGGGTCTCCACAGTCTTCCTAGAAGTATGGCAATCTCATTCGTCTGTATGACAGAGCCTATCGGTTTTTTGTTTCCTTGCATTTTTCTCAGTTCTTTATCCTGTCAGAACCAGCAGTCATTGGTTGTGACCAAGCAAGGTATCTTAAATGCGTCACATGCTCGGCATGTGAACACTGCCCAATTCGCTTCCAGTCATTGCCAGGAGCAGTCTATTGTTGTGACCACGGGGCTTTCGCTATTGAGTCAATTCAGTATGGGACAGCCACCCAAATCATTGCGCTTGTAACAAGTCAGAATCAGCTTGAGGACCTTGATTTGTGCAAAGAATTCTGTAGGCAATCGTTCGATTGTCGAGGTCAGGTCAACTCTGTTTGGTCTAGGTCAATTCTGGGCTCAAGAGGCGTTCCTAACTGCCTCAGACTAAGGCCAAGAAGCAGAGCTACCTCCAAGAGAATAAAACTCGTATGAACTATCTTCAAAGCATTCATATATGGACCTTGGTGTTTCGGGATGTAGGTAGCTCGGGTGCGCCGCTTGGCTGTTGGTCTGTTGACCGAGTTTGACAGCCTGATTGTAAATAGCTCATCACCACTATAGCTGACATCGTCAGTGCGGAGATAATTCGGTGAATTCGTCCTCCTCTTCCTGTGCTCCAAAGCGATTGGCTGGTCAGAAGGTGGTAGTCGCGTAATGTGATTGGCCATCCGGGAATCTGAGTTGCATCGTGAACTTGTTCCTTGTGTCTGGTTGGTTCGTTGGTGGCCTTCAATTCAACAGTTCTGTTCCTCCGTAGTGATAGGACCGTTCCCTTCTTACCTTGTGGTCTGACTTCGTTGCACTTGGTTGGTTGGATAGGTGACCCTCTTTGGCTGCTGCCGCTGCTGATAACGATGTTGATGATGATGTGATGAGGATGACATTAGACAATGTCCTACTGTTTGTTGTGGAAGGATTTTGGCCTTGTAAGACCATTTCGGTCTCACTTCGGTCTGAAGAAAGCTTCATGTTTGTCAGTGGGTCCTTGTGATAGACAATTCAGGAATCCATCAAGTTCCTCTGGATGCAGAATATCTATTACTCAAGCGCTCATTACTCCGAGAAGAACCAATCCTGCAGGAAGAACACCTCTATCGAAAATTTTAAATCTCTAAATGTAAACATTGCCACAGGGAGGAGAATTAACGGAGAGTTTTTTCCAATGGAAACATCGTTTTTATCTTCTGGAGATTTGATGCATAATTCACTTTAAATATGGGTGTACTTTTTCTGTAAGCGCTTGTTTTCTGAGTTCTTTCAATGCAAAATGCTGGTTTGAATTCTCGTCCACAACCCTCAGAACAGCCGAATTCATGACCCAGCATGCCTCTGTTTTTGCCTGTGTTATGTTGCTGTTGACGTTCGTTTGACCTACGCATGTCTAGGAACATACCTCGTTACTTAATTGGTGTGAGGTAACCGTTGGTGCATATCTTTGAAACTACTTACTGACCTTGGCAGATGAACTTTTCGCTTTAAAGGTAGTTCCATAGCTTTTGTGTGATACAAACCATAAGGACTTAGTGAAATGAAGCCAGCCTTTAGAAACACTCAGTCACTCGGTGATGACCCATTTTGTGTCTGGAAATCCAGGTGATTAGCCCTGAGCTTTAGGTTGGTTTCCCGAAAACTGAAACTGTGTCCGCAACGTCTATTTGAAACCAAATTTTATACAGTTCATGAACTACACTCATCTGCAAACTAACTGCGCTTTGATGGTAAACTCAACCGAATCCCGTCTGCATTCTTCGTTCATACTATTCTACGGGCGGGCACAAAGCCCGCATCTTGTTTTAGTTGGAACGTTACTCGAGGTATCGTTCAAAACGGAAATCGATGAATCAAGCGTGTCCACACTTTGGTTTACTTCATCTGGATTCGAACATCGGTTGTGCAGTTCGTTCTTAGGTACAAACAAATACAAACTGAACGTTGATATTTCCGTTGTTCAACTGGATTTGATTACAGTGGTGCCAATAAGCTGAGAGTGATTAGTCTGTTGGGCCAATCAACACGTGACCACGTGATGTGGATCACGTGATTGAAGAATGAGTGGCGATCTGTCCTATCTAGGTGCAAGTCAGTCACACTGTCGATCAGCTGTTCGTGGCCAAGCGGTTGTGTCCAAACAACTAAACAAGAGGTCGCGGATTGGGGATTTCCTATCGGGGTTTCGTCAAATGCGCAACAGCTGCACGGTTTCCGGCTTTTTAGCGTAGACCGATTTTATTTGGTTGGATCACACCAGGCCACACAAACGAGCACTTGAGATTCGATCAACTTCCAAAAACTTCGTCAGGTCGTGCTGATCCAATAGGCAGCTCATCAGAATGGATGGAGGGTAGAATTTTGGCAATTTTAGCAAAGTTTGCAAAGGTTAAACCGGAGGAACATGAATGATAAGTAAGACGAAATGGAATTTAGGATCACTATAAAGATGGCAGGGCACTTGATTCAGGTAGCTAGGTTCGGCGAACAAGTTGGACACTTGGGTCCCTAATAGCCATTCAGGTTTACTGTGCAAGAGATTTGGTTGATCCCTCCGGATAAGGAGACCTCATTGACCAAGTGGTTACACGATTGGTCCCGATTGGGCCAAACTCACTCATGGTTGGAAAGTTCTTCAGCTTCAAGATCATTCAGCTGTAATTCCAGGTTTGATAATGTTTCAGACAATTCCGTAAATTCTTGCTGTAGATTCTGAAGTTCCTTTTCGGCATTCCTGAAAAACAAGTGTAGAATAGTTACCCATACCGGCCTTCCATCGATCTGATGGGTTTCTTTCAAAACAGAAGAGTTTACTTACGATTTGTATTTTCGCGCTTTTTCCGCCTCTTTCGAATACTGTCCCGGTAAATCTGTGGCTATCACCCACTCGGCCTAATGGGAAAACAAAAGATGAGGGAAAGTTGTAAACAAATTACGGAGACTTTGGACTCGGAAAGATTTGTTTTGACTTTTCCTTCGCCCTGGCCCGTAAGCGACCCACTGATCTGACACCGTTCCATTCACCAAAATGTTTTTTTGTTCGCTCAGTCTACGTAATTACAACATGCACGCTATTTCACATTACAAGTAGGGAATTGCGAAAAACAATACGACAGACTTCAAACACCCGGAAACAAAACAGACTCACAAAATGTTTTTTTCTTTTTGAAAAATTTGGTTTTATTGGGAGTCAGTGGAAGACGGTTTCGGTGCCCTTGAACGGGTTAACGAGGAGATGATGGTGCGAACAGACAAGTATGTACTTTTTTCAGGTATAAATCTTAACTTTGCTTGAAACATTGAAGTAGATGCGGTAAACTGACCAGAACAATCAATTCTTTAGTCCAGAACATCTCATCGGAACCGACCAATCAAATTTCGCCTGATCTTACGGTGGATTGAGTCATGCTGGACACGGCTGAAGTTTGTTCATACTGTCCATATATTCGTGTATTCATATTCTTCCCGTGTTGGATAGAGGGATCCCATTTGAACGAGGTTCCGGGTTAAGTTGCCTTCAGTCAGAATTTGGCAACGTGGCTTGTTCTATGATGCGAAAAACGTTTACTCTCACCTAATTCATCCTAGCATAAAAACACTAATTTTGGTGGGCACCAAACCGGTCTTTGAAGAGAAATTCTGTTGTAATGAATTTTGATTAGGCTTTCATTAAATAAACCCAAGTGAATCTGTGCTGTCAGCAGTGTGCATCTCGTGAGTCTTCATGGGGAATCCTGTCTGCTAGTGGTTGGTGATTGAACGGTTTGGCTGCGAAAAGCCAATAATCAGTGTGACTAGCTCACAGTTGAACAGTATATAACATCACTCGTCCCCCAAGGACGAGATTCTCATCACGTGGTGACGTGTGTATTGGTTGCTCAAGTGAAGAATATCAGCTGGAAAGTCCACCTGACTGATGAATTATACCCCCCTTTGTGCTACTTATAGATTTTTCAAGTGGGCCTCCATCCTGTTATTGAGTTCAATCTTTGATGCGAGGATACTCAGCAAGGTATTCCAACGTTACAAAAAAATCGAGAAGGTGCCGGAATGCTGCTGTTCACCGAAGACTTTCAAAGTTGACTGATGTTCAATAAATCAAACCACCCAATTCACTTCATACATGGTTGCAAGCTAAGATCGTCTGTAGCACTGTTGAATTCAACTTGATGTTTGGGTGAGCCACAAACAGTGGTCGCATTTTTTCACACTTTTGAGGGTTCTTACCGAAATATCACTACAGATGAATGATTTGATTCGAATCGGATCCGAACTCACCATGTTCAAGAAGGGAGGCACTGGTGCTCTGGTAATAATGGGGATAAATAATGAACACTTTGTACTGGGCATTTGGATTCGCTCGCTGAACCCTTTTTCTCGCGGTACTGAATTACTAGCCCGGATCTCACTCTGGATCGGCTAAGTGTTCAGCAACTCCAGACAGGGCCGACCACCCTGGTTGGCTTCAAAGTGCTGGTTACTTTCGCCAATGTACAACTTGATTCCTCTGGCATCTCTGCACCACTTTCAACCATGCTGCACAAAGGACACTCGTGGGGCTCATGTATGATGACTGTGGCAAGTGCTGTAAAGTAAAAGTTGGCCCACCGTCAATTCACGTTTATGCGAGTCTTGGCATCAACGTGGTCGCCCAGTTGGCTTGGACTGTCAGGCACTATGGCGGTGTCTGTTGAGCAAAGCTTCTTCCATAACTTGTCGACCTTCCTAAGGGTGCTGCACGCTAACTCCCACGGCCGTTAAGGTCTACAAAAATCTCTCCTCTGAGTTCACCACATCCAGTGGTGTCAGACAAGGTGACCGAGAGTTGGAAAATGTATGACCTGGCAAAGAAGTATGAAAACACTAACCAGTAAACTAAGTCGGGTGGGCAACTGCCGCCTCCCTGGATGGGGACCCCGGGACTCAAATCACCAGTGGTTATTGACATTGGCTGAAATCGCCCAAACGCGCAGTCAGTGGCGCTCGTGCATCAAAGTTATCGCCTTCAATGCGTAGCTATCCAATTTCCAAACAAACTGAGCATGTCTTCGCCTTCAAGACCATCAGAACTGGTCTAGTTGGCATGACTGATGCTGCTATGTATACTTTACTGGTAAGCACAACTGGACAGTTCGTCATCTAGTGGCCCTGACTAAGCCATCGGTCAAACAGCTCATTATTTGTCAGACTCTGAAGACTATGGTGCCTGATTCAAACAAACCGTGGATTGCACCGGATCACTCTTGAAATACAGTTCTGGTAGTTTGTCCACTGGTGTTGGCCTGGTATTTGCCCGAGGGTTGCGATCTGGCATCCTGACACCGGAGTAAGTTCTGTTACTTCAGGATCTCCATACCTCTAGGACACTTTCGCACATGTGGAAACCTGTCTTCTAACTCCGTCATCAGTTGGCCCATCGTATGGCGCTAAATGAAAGCAGATCCACCGAACCAACTACACTGCCATCCAGACTCCATACCATCAAAGACGAAAGGATGCAGCGTCTGTTGTGCCTGATGGGTCGTGGAAGGAACGTCACAGAGTCAAGTTGCCTTGTGAAACAGAAAATTAGCACGGCGTGGACCCCCAATTCGCTCAATCGTTTATCTGTGTTTAATAAAAGCCCAGAAATATACAGTGATCCTTTCGAACAAGGGAAACCCTCGAGGGTCGGCAAAATTGCGCCATTCTAAGAGAGGTACTTTTCTATGGGAAAAGCATATGCGTTAAGCTGTAATGTTGCTGTTTTCTTCTGAACAATGGAGGTATATATGCAATAGAAAGCTTTTTTATCAATTTATTCAAAAAAGGATACTGTCATACACCTTTGTCAGCGTTTGGTCTGCTTTGTAATGTCAATGTAACTCGCGTTCAAGACGTTTCGAATACAAGAATTTAGAAAACAAACAAAAAATGTGGAACACGTTAAGCGGACGTTCTCGTTTTGTCCTTGCAGCAGCCATCCTGAGACCTACTCAAACGAATCATAGTTCGCATTCTCTCGAATTAGATATACAAGCTATTGATCGGTATCTTCTTGATAAAAGGCTGTACATGTTATGCCTTATAATCTGAAAACAAACCAAACTGATCTAAACGAGCTCATGCAGTTCTGACCAGAGCGGGAATCCAAGATGATTGGGGCCAAAAGAAAAACTTGATACACTTCACTTTGAGCTTTTCCTCATGTACGTGATTGCCACTAATCACCATACGGAGCAAAACTGGTCATATCTCAATGCATCTTCTATCAACAGTATCGGCCGCTGCACAGTAAATTCCGCCCCCCAAAACCTCTCAGTTGATTTGATTCACTGGCATATTGAAGAATTGAATTCAACAGTTTTCTATTAAACAGCTGATAATGAATTTGGGATATCCGAGTGATAACTTTCCCCTTTCAAAAATCGCTCTCTCAATAGTCACTTCTGGTGACGCACATTACTTTGTACTCGAGCAATAGTTTCACTTTTTGGGGACGCAATCATTTGAGAGGGACCATCCCTGCACACTTACTGACGAGGAATCACGAAGGGCAAACTACTGAGCACAGTAATACCAGCTACTATCTTTAACTAGGAGAACAAGTGTCCAGATGACGCAACAAAACGAAGGGCACTGAGCACAGTAATACCAGCTACTATCTTTAACTAGGAGAACAAGTGTCCAGATGACGCAACAAAATTAGCACGTCTATACCAATTACATGGAGGTAAATACAATTAATGATTCCAAATTGAGATCTTATCCTATAAATGATCACATCTCTCTGGACCTACAACTGTGCAGCACGTATGCAACACTGAACTCATCTGATGTATGTTCACGAAACCGCGCGATCGCAGAGGATATAACTGTTGGTAGTGTGAAAAGATTAGTGGATGTTTAATAGAGATTTCCTCTTGTCAGTGAAGCCAATGTATTTTGAATAGTTGAAAATCGTTGTACGGCTGTTTTATCCTGTTTCATCGTCATCAGTGTGCATCTTACGAAATTCCAGCAGGGAGACTTGAGTCCGCAACGTCTGAACTCAAACGTTTGGCTTCGGGCGATCGATGCGCGTTCATTGGTATGCCTCTGTCACACAACGGAATCATGGCTCCCTCAGTGGAGTGAATAAAGGCTTGGTTACACAGAAGTTGCATCAATCACATCTCACACTGCTTCCAGGTTCCGACAGTGATTGTCTTCCTTGAGCTGAAAACTGCATTTGACCCTGTGGACTGTCAGGCACTATGGCGGTGTCTGTTGAGCAAAGCTTCATCCATAACTTGTCGACCTTCTTAAGGGTGCTGCACGCTAACTCCCACGGCCGTTAAGGTCTACAAAAATCTCTCCTCTGAGTTCACCACATCCAGTGGTGTCAGACAAGGTGACCGAGAGTTGGAAAATGTATGACCTGGCAAAGAAGTATGAAAACACTAACCAGTAAACTAAGTCGGGTGGGCAACTGCCGCCTCCCTGGATGGGGACCCCGGGACTCAAATCACCAGTGGTTATTGACATTGGCTGAAATCGCCCAAACGCGCAGTCAGTGGCGCTCGTGCATCAAAGTTATCGCCTTCAATGCGTAGCTATCCAATTTCCAAACAAACTGAGCATGTCTTCGCCTTCAAGACCATCAGAACTGGTCTAGTTGGCATGACTGATGCTGCGCTTGGTATTTCAGAGCCACTTTAGCATTCTAAAATCGGCAGAGGTGAGACCAGTCGATTCCCATTCGATTGACTCACTATTCCTTTGCGATAAGTTAGATCGGAACGCCACCGAGTTAGAAATAGCTTCAGTCCGAAGGTGATTTGTCACAAGGCATGTGCAAGGTAACAGCAACATTGCCAGGTGATGTGCTTCCGATGCTTCTCTTCAAACTTTCCATCTCGTCGACTCAAAAAAAACACTTTACTTCCAGGCGACTGGATTCGTACCCGGGTTTTGGTTCAGTGATTCGATAAAAAGTGACAAGAATATGCACGTATTTCGTTTAGGTTTCTTATGTGCTTAAGGATTCAGTCTGGTTCGTGTGGATATCTTACTGATAAGGGCAGTCGGTACATTTTTTCGACAGTTCTTGCGTTCAACCAGACAACGTAGTAAAATTGTGTGAGGCCCAGTACCGTTTCATTGAAGCCTGGTACGATATAAACTAAATTACATCAAAAGCCAAAGTGTATTGAGAACGAGGACAATTTGACCGTGGCGCATGTATTTGGCCACTGTGGGAAGATTATAAGGCTCGAGTCCTGGCCCTGACCTATCGTACCTTTCCAAAATAAGTGGCAGTTAAGCAATGACACTCGACATTCTTGTTGGTGTCGGGGGAGGGGTGATCAGCGCAAGACTCACTTTGACATCGTTCATCCGCTGTCCCAAATTCGACAAGTCCGACTGGGCCTCATGCTCCATATCAGATGCTTGCCTAAACTGTTCTCTAGAACGTTTTGCTTCCATTTTGAGCATGTCGATCTCCAACCACAGATCCTGACATTGATTCTGCACCGTTTTCATCCTTCGTTCCATTTCCTGAATCACACGGGACAAGTCACAAAGTGAGGGGTTGATTTAAACGTGAAAAAAAAACCATTCGCTCTGTGTTTGCCACCAGTCGGTGAAACTGAGTCTGTTGGGAAGTCGTACTGTGTGGGTGGATTAAATCAGGAACTTTTCCTGCTCACCAAAAGAATTCCCAACCCCCAGTACATGACTACTGACGAGCACAAGTGCCCCGAAACTAAAACCCGGACATTGGGCCACAACAGGAACCGAGAATACACGCAAATTTGAAGTATGTAGTAACGAAAATTCAACTTGTTTGAATTTCTAGATCAGTACTTCCGCTTAAGGTAAACGTCTTACAACCCTTAGAAGTGAGGTGAACGTGATGGCACTCGATAGTTGTTTACGCTTCCGTGTCACTGACCGAAGGTCGGTCCATTCGTCTTCGGTATGCCCCCAAAAAGAGGACTCACCGCTCCGTGGGGGGTCACATTTAATCAATTCAATTTTAACTTTTGGTTTTTTAATTATTATTTTGTTTAAGGCTGTCCTGTAATAACGAAACTTCAACTTGTTTGAATTTCTACATCAGTACTTCCGAAGGTCGGTCCATTCGTCTTCGGTATGCCCCCAAAAAGAGGACTCACCGCTCCGTGGGGGGTCACATTTAATCAATTCAATTTTAACTTTTGGTTTTTTAATTATTATTTTGTTTAAGGCTGTCTGTGACCGTGTCACGCCAAATAGTTTGTACTTTTAAATTACCGACTGTGATTGTGTGTTTCGATCAATTCCTCCAACTCAGTTCGCGTCATACTACTTAGCTCAACTTTCTCCATTTGAAACATTGCCACAGGTAAAAAAAACACCTGATCGTATGAGGGGAAATACGTCCATCCATGTTTCCGAAAGAAAACAGGGAATAATTCACTGAAAACTGGAGTAAAATTATTTGTTCAGGTCAGTGAGCCAACCAGAGGCAATTCAGTCGTTTTTATCAAAATGACTCTTCCGGCAAAATCCATGGGATGGTTAAAGTTATACTCAGGAAGACACCTGTGGTCTACAAACCTGTCAGTAACATTTTCTGAATCAGCAACGCCAACCATCTTTACTTTCCTATGTACGTGGCTGTCTGTGTGTGACTAACCCTCAGTCAATAGACCCGTGATCTATACCAGTCACGTGACTGTATATCTACTCTGATGTTTACAGTACATGCTCTTATCAACACAAAATGCGCGCAGTTTAGGTCTCAAAGCTCCTCGAGTTTTATAAAAAGAGGAACTTTCCACGAAGAATAGTATCTTCTGGATGGAGCGTTTAATGGCTGGCTTATGAAATGAATACTCTACCCCGTTTAGGGAGAATAGGACCAAGGCGAAAGATATAAGAATACCAAGAAACAGAAATATACACAAAACTGCATGGTATATTATGGAGACAGTTAGGCTGACTTCGTTTCCTTGTGGAAAATGGACGTTTTCTCCCCACCAGTGGAAGATCAAATGGGTTCAAATCGAAAACGGTAGACTGCGGGTGAGTGCTAATCAACACAAGCAAACAAACAATAAACGATTCCGTTGAATATCGACTCATCTTGAGCATGACCGTGGTTTGTCTATTCCGTGCGATAAACAAACTGCTTACTGTAAAGATATCCACATCGTCTGATAGTGCTTCAAGCTGAAATTGGAGGGGAATGAGCACGACATTAGACATATCCAAACAAAGTTACTTTGACAGTTGAATGTCGGTAAGATTTCATACATAGACGTAAAGGAGTAAAGCTAATCAGATGTCCATAATGCACTACTCATAAGGTTGCTGAAAATTCGTCGACAGCCCACGACCGGTTTCGCTCTACCTGGGGGTCATCAGGTAGGCGCAGTCTCCGAGTTTCCATCAATTGTATGTTCCACTTGAACCAAAATTGGACTGTCTTCGAGAAACACACTCATTTGCAAATCAATTTGCTTTTCACGGGAGACTCAAGTGAGCCTCTCGTATATGCTGTTCTTCAACTGAATGTGCTGCACACAAACCGCCCCCTGTTTCAGTGCGTATGACATTCAAGATATCCCAGTATAGTTTCACAAAGGAAACTACTCACAATGTTGCTGAAGTGGGCTGTCCAGGAGTTTTCAGCAACCTTGTGAGTAGTTTCCTCTATGAAAGCTACACTTGTTCGCTTACTCTGCTTCTTCGTTTTACTTATTCGAATGGAGATTGTGTCAGGAAGACATTCCGGGGTAAGTGTTAGGCAACTGATGCGAAAACGTATATCGAGTCACCGAACACGACAGCCGCAGGCAGCGCAAGTCTTCCAAACAATGGATGCAGGCGCAGACGAAAGTGGGTCACATGCTTTTATCAGGCTTGAAGGATTGTGGTTTCCAGTGAAGAGAGAACAGTTTTCACTTTGTGCGCCCTGTCATACATTTCGCCTGTACCAGTCAAGAGGAAAGAATGAAACATTCGAGAAGAGTCTTTCAGTTGTCAGGTCATTCGAAAGAAGCGTTAGAACTGAGATACTGTCGGGATGTCGAACCCTAGATGCGTGAAGTTGATGTTCATGGTGATGATGATGACGACAACGATGATGATGATGATGATGATGATGATGATGATAATGATGATGATGATGATGATGGTGATGATGATGATGATGATGATGATGATGATGATGATGATGATGATGATGATGATGATGATGATGATGATGATGATGAAAATGATGCTGATGATGATTATGATGGCGATGATGTTGATGATGATGGTGATGATAATAATGAAGCTTTGAAACAGTGGTTGACCGAAATTGCGCTATTAGGGCGGCCTTCGTGTATGTTTGAAAAATCGCAACTCTTAACTTGATCCTTTGGGAGAACTGGTACTCGACCGAGTGGCATTGAGAACGGCTACCACAGCAGGTGTGAGAACAAGGAATCCATTCTGAAGAGGATGAATTCCCAGAATGCATCCTCTGCAATCTAGACTTGCGTGAAATGTGAGCACATGTGCCTCAGAGGGATCGGGCTTGTGAGTCGTTAGCGTCATCATCGCTTGCTGAAGGCAAGCGTTTAAGATCCCATCTGAGTTTGTCCCATTTTCGAATGACTACCTGACCGCAGATCTAATAGAATACACTCAGGCTACCACATTATTAGTGTGTTATTGCATGCCTCTGGTAACTTTTGCGTTGTATCATTGCATTACTACTATCCTTATCCATCTAGTGGTTGGCCCAGTATGTCCAACTAGGGTAGTGTGTTTTTCGTGGCTCGCCGAACTTCGATTCACGAGGTTCTTTGACAGAAAATGTGCCCCCCCCCCCCCGGAGGAGTACCGTCTCAACGATGTTTTCACTGCATACACACCTCAATGGCCAGGAAAGGAATTCGTGACATACCTATCTACCTGATATGACCTGCTCCGACAGAATCAACACACGAGTTCGTGCTTCCTAAAGTTTACTGTGGTGAAAGGGGCTTTTGTTGCAGGGCTCAATGAGCGTCAGTCGACGAGGACTCACCAACCTGTTTGCGTTTCTTTCAATATGGTAGTGAAGTGATGACTAGATCGAAACAGTGACTAAGTGCTGTCCAGACGTAATGCAAACTCGTCGACAGCCCACGAGCTCTTTCATCCTTGTTGGAGCTAATCAGGTAGGCGCAGTCCCAAAAAATCTGTCAATCTTTTGTTCGACTTGGACCTAAGTTGGATAGATTTCGATATATCTGAGTTCATTTAGAGTCTAAGGTTCGGGACTGCACCCACCTAGTGAGCCCCAACAAGAGCGATCACTAACATATGCTTGACTGATCAGAGATCGTTCTACTATTCTCTGACATGGTTGCTCATCGGATTTTCTCACCTCTGCCATAGGAAGTCGAGAATAGTCCCTGTTCAACAATTTTCTTTCCTCCCTGAGAAGTCCTGCTTCGTATTGCAACATTTCCACTCGTTCATCCGTCTCCATTGCACTGTTGTAGTAGTTTAGAATCTGAGCTCGCATCTGTGCCGGCTCAGTGATTGTATTGTCCGGAAATTGGTCGGCTTTAATCAGCTGTTGTTCCTGCTCCTCAATTTCCGCCATATAACGTTTGGAAAGTTGAATAAGGCTGAACTCATTTTCCCGAGTTCTGAGGAGAAAAAGAGAGAAAACCGAAGGATCAGTCAGTTTTCGAATTAAAGAAATTTAGAGTGTTGGCAATATGCAAGTAAACTGGACCAAAACGTGACTCACATTCCGATTTGACCAACCGGATTGTGTGAGGGCCACCAACCAGTCACGTTAGAGATAGTGAGCACTGTTTAAAAACCACATCAGTGCAGAAAGAAGGGGAAAAGTTGACCCAACTAAGCTCGCACGGACGAAGGTTATGCAATCCAACTACCAAACGTGATGAGCCGAGCAACTACAAACAGACTAATCACCAGGAGAAAATTGTTTCGGAAAAACAAAAGGGCGCGTAAGCAAGCCTTCAATGCTGTCCTGTCAGCGCAGCATAAGCTGTGGGCTCTACATACAGCAACCTGAAGAATTAAGAATTTGAAGACCTCCAGGAACTACAATCACTTCAAACAGAAACAGTTGGCCATGAGTGCATCACTCATTTGTCGCTCCAAATGATTCCCTTTGACTATTTGATCGAACGATCGAACTAACATATGATATGTCTGTAACTTTTCTATGAACGGCGTAACCCAAGGAAAGGCTGTCCAGTGAATTGTCTGCACTACGTCTCCGTAGTTCCAGGAATGGTGCCTTTGGCAGACTTGAGTGTATGTGTACAGCAGCGTAGTGATCCATAAGTTCCGTTTGCGGAACAAATGTTTGACTCAGACCTACTCTGTGTCACATTATTTACTGGTTCGTCTGCATTGCGGTCACGAATACATATGAGCATTTATCGGACTGAACAAAGCAGTGTATCACACGAGTCAGAGCTAATATCAACTTCGAATGTGTCTATTACAAGACGTCTGACTGAGATGGGTCACAGGTTGTGCCCGTGTAGCTCACTTGTCATTCTACTACTTGATACAAACACGGTTTATCTGGTTATTAGTGGTACTCTACTAATCAAAAGTTCTTGGTTCATTTTATGCGTTCTAGAGATTTCACGTGGCGATATCATTTTACCGTGGTAATAACCAAGTGACCGTTTCATTGATTATTTGGTTTTAACCTGGAAATCTTCCCTCGCCCGATGAGTTGTTGCTGCTACGTTTGACTTCGCTTCGTTTAACAGATTGTAGCAGTGGTTGGGGAGACTGTTCGGAATGCCAGGATTTGGCTGTATGTCTACTGGCTGTTTGAACTAACTACATCGTGCTCACCGTTGAGACTGGTGGCTTCTTTGTGTTGATATTATGAGTAAAATTTACTGTCATCATCGCCATCACTCGCAGCAGCACTGGAGGGGAGCACCGGTGCCTCACTGCCACACAACCGTGTTTGTTAATTTGAATAATGCCTCATAATGGAAAGAGCACGAGATGGCTTAGTAGCTAAGGCGCGGACCGGAAGGTCGGTGCTTCGAACCCCACCGCTGGATCTCGACTGCTCCCGTCTAGGATTGGGCAACCTGTCAGTATCTCGACCCTCGTGTTTCCTTGGCCTGGCGTAGCAGCTCAGCACCGAAAGGGTGCTAAAGCTGGATCGTTTTAATGGAAATACAAAGTGGAACATGTTGTAGAACCTAGCGCTAGCCTAACGCAAACATCCGAACTTAGTCAGAAAATATGAGTGGAAACCGACGACATGAGACCCACCGACGTCGATTAGCCGCCATCTCGTCTAGTGTCTGGAGCTAAGGCTTACTCGGACTCCATTCGGGAAGGTGAACAACACCAGCAGTGCCCAAACTTTTCGTAGCTTTCTTCATTCCCTTCTGCGATGTCAAATTCTGTCCAATAGATTCTCAACAGACAAAGTAGGCACAAAAAGGGTAACAGACAGCCAGACCACTCTAACTCACAGTGGTAGATGTATTCTTTAAGTGAAGTACCTCTTGCTCTACCGAAGGCCTGTTCCCTGGTCATCTCATTGCGGATTCTCTCGTTTCAGCTAATAGCAACTTCGAATTGCTTGCCTTCTTTGGTCATTAGCTGACCGCCGTTAGGCAGACATTTTGCGTTCATTTTATGCGTCCAAAAGACTTCATATGGTGAAATTACTTCACCGGGGTAAGGACCAGAAGACCGTTCTATTCGTTGTTTAGTCTCAATCTGGAAGTCGTCCTTCCCTCGATAAAGGTCTGCTGCCACGTTAGCAGTTCGTGAGCCTGTCCGGAATGCCGGTATTCGGTTGTACCTTTGTCTTCCGGCCGTTTTTAACTAAATAGGTCATGCCTACCATGGGGTTTGGTGGCTAGTTTCTGTTGATATTTTGAGTGTGAAATTTAACGTCGTCATCATCATCGTTGGCAGCAGCATCGACCACGAGAGAACATCGTGTATACTAACAAAATATGCTCACACAGATACAGACGCCGACTCATTAAAACTCAGTTGATGCGTGCTCCAATACGAGTTTGTTGAAGCACGGTCAGAATGTCATCCGCGCACTCATTCAGGATGCTGTCAGGTAGTTTACGAAGTTCTGGAATCATAAACTGGTCCTAAAACGATATGGCATCAGTTTTCTACCTTTTGATGTTCGCAAGCCGTCGACTGGATTATTGCTGTTTTAAATTCCGAGTTCGTTTGATGACTACAATTTGTTCCTTTTCATCCTATGGAAGTAAAGCTGCGTTAAAGAACAATGGAAGTTCAAGATTCCGCTCGGAGTGCCTGCATAAGTCGTTGTACTCCCCACTCATCATATCATCCTAAAACCGTTTGATGACTTCTGTGCATCACTAGGGATCCTCAGTGAGGTTGATGCAAGGAACCCTTGGATGACAATTTCGGTGGGTCATTGGCCACGGTTTTGTTCAGCTAACCGTCGATAGGTTGTACGGGAACAACACGAGATCTTCAAGATATCGGTGGGATCTTAGTGTCTTCCTGATTGGGTCAGCGTTTGTGCTTGGGATCCATGAAGGACATAGTATAACTGATCCTTTCCGGTCTCGCCCCTCCTGAAATGCCTCTTTGTTCGACAACCGCCGTCTCAGAACCATGGCACAAGTGGGTTAGTGTCGGCGAGTTCGTAATGAGGCAATTAGAAAGCGCGTTTTCGTTTGTGCAACGGGTACTTCCATTGCGGAATGTGTCCAGCACCATATGGTGCGTTGAGTGGGACATGTATTGCGTACAACTAACAGTCGTTTGCCGAAGAGAATGCTGTTTTTCATGCCCAACTCAGAGTGGCGCAAGCAGAGAGGTGGTCAACCCGTGACTTGACAGAGGAGTATGAAAGAGATCACGAAACGCTTGGGTGCTGTCGGTGCTACTCGCCTTCCAGGATGGGGACCGCGTGATCCTCACACTGGGCCTGGTTGGAGACACTACAAGATATGGCTGCCAACCGATATCAGTGGCGTTCTTGTTGTCAGTTTCTGTCGAGATTGCCTGAGTGAATGTCTGGAGGTGTAGGCACCTCGGAATGATTGTGTTAAGCTAGCACTAAGTCCTTTCCTTGTCCATCTTTGTTCTTCTGTTTACAATAAGGCTTTCAAATAAGTCATGGTTGTACGGCAGTGATGCATCGGTGTTGAACACAGATGTCATGCATGTGTTACTACCAATGACGATGGGGATCCTACTTTGTATGATTTTAGACCGAATAGCCTACTATTATAAATAACTATGTTTCAACCTCGTACTCAAAAAAACCTTCGGGCTAGCAAACAAAAACCTACCTTTTCAGTGCTTCATGCACTTTCATATAACGTGCCTTATAAACGGCGACTTCCGTGCTCGTCAGTTTGCCAGCATGGAACTGATCGTCTATTGCCTGAAATGCCACGCTACTGGCAACTTCCGTCTGTGATTCGATTCGTAGCACTGAAGCCTCATCAGTAGGCCTTGCTACCAAAAGTTGATCTTGCGGATCGGGTGACTGATTCATTTTGCATCGAGGTTTTGAAGGAATGAGAGATTCATTGCTTGCACTACACACAAACTGCGATTCGTAGGCTCATCAGGACTGGATAATGTCACAAATCACGTGAAGTTCAAACCCATTATTGATCGGTCGGTGATGTGATTAGTGTTAGACGGGATGATGATAAGCTATTTCAGCCGAAGATGGATGAACATTTCCAACCAAATATGAAAACGTTGATAAAGTGTCTTTTTTCCTATTTAAAGCGCGGAACTTTTACGTCAGCGACCTGTGGCATTCTTGTCAAAACAGGCCACAGGATTAGATGTGATATCCTACAGTTCACTTTAGTGTATCAGCTGGAAATCATGTACCAAGTTTTATTGGTCCCAGCTGCTGCAGTTTTGGTCACCGGAAATCGGGAGAGCAGGAAGTTACAGCCAAGCATTGGAGCCGATGACGGACGATTAGTTAGTTATCGTGAGGGACGGAAAACTAGGTAGCTAGGCACTCAGTGCAACAACTTTATTACAAGACGCCATTAACTACGAGGTGTTTCAGATTTCTGGTGCACTCAAAGAAAGTTCTGAACACAAAACAGGTGACCAAAAGCAGCTCATCTCCTACCAAGAAAGATATAGTCTCATTTCACGAGGAGGTTTTGCACTGCTTCCGAGTTGAATGCCCATGAATATTCTCCTAGGCGATAAATCGCTACGGACTTCCGGAGCTTTTCGCCCTCAGTGCAAAGATAACTAACCACGGATGCCCAAAGTCCAACATAAACTTCTCCTGTCAGATCATGACGATGCAAACGATGATGTTGCTTGTGGACCGACACCTAATGCCCATCCTGGTGGGTGCTATATTGAACAGGCGTTTGCGACCATGCCTGGTCATAGTTTTTTTGCTTACCGTTGGACGTTTCTCGGATGATTTGATTTCTTACCAGTACTACCCAACGACACTTTTGAGTTCGTAACCCATCGTTTAACGTCACAGAAATAGCCCGATTCCAGCAACATTAATATATTTGTTTTAGGACCTATTTCAAAAGGGATTGTCTGGTATGACTGAACACCAATCAGTTTGAATGTTCAGCTACCCATCAATATACGGCTACCGTCTGAAGAGAATGGTCTAATGCGGTCTCATTTGGGATGGCGTAAAGTATCGAATAGGCTTCAGAGTACGGACAAAAATATACTGTGATAAAGGCCTCTCTACAGAGAGGCAGTTACGTATTCGTCTTCAGTTGTGATTATTTGCCCGGAAGTCATTTACTCATATCTTCGTCGAAATCATCATCATCCTCACGATCCTCGTCATCGTCATCATCATCAAATCATCATCCCAATCATCGTCATCATCATCATCATCACTTACACCAGAGTGGGTAGGAGAGGGATCTGGCACTGACTTGTCACATGCTGTCTACATCTTCAAGCGCTCAGCCAGTAAATGTAGAAAGAAACTGGCCGCACGAATGCCACTGACAGTGATCAGTCGGCATTTCTTGGAATGTCTCCAGCCGAGCGCCAGTGGGGTCCCGGGGATCCCATTCTAAAAGCAGTACAACACCAACGGCACACAAACTCTTCGTAACATTTTACAAACCTTTCTGCCAAGTCACACGTCTTCCAGTTTACATTTTTCACTATTGTGAAACAGGCAAGGATAACCACATTCGTCTTGGTGTGATGGATGTTTCCATGACTACACAACCAAATACCAACCACCTTATTACCAATCTGTTAACATCCGCCACGCTTCTGTGGCATCGGTGATCATGAAACTAAAGTTCCCTCAAATCATCTGTCCACAGATACCAGGTCTCGCAGCGCCACACAACAATGCAGCCCTTACTGTTATCTGGTAAACACGATCCGTGAGACGCAGCGATATTTTTTGACGCCACTAGTGACTTGACTTGAGCCATTGAAATTCGTGCACTGACTTCATCAGACCCATTTCTGTCAGAGCTAATACCACTACAGAGCGATGTAAAGTTCTCCGCAACCTCCAAGGTTTCTCCTTGAATTCTTAGGGCTATGTTGAGATAATGCACCTTCCTAAGCATCTACCAACCACTTCATTACGAATCTGTTAACATCTGCCACGCTTCTGGGGCATCGGTGATCACGAAACTAAAGTTCCCTCACATCATCTGTCCACAGATTCTAGGCCACACAACAATACAGCCCTTATTGTAGCCTGGTAAACACGACGCGTGAGACGCAATGATATGCAATTTTGACGCCACCAGTGACGTGACTTGAGCCTTTGAAATTCGTGCACTGACTTCATCAGACCCATTTCTGTCAGAGCTAATACCACTACAGAGCGATGTAAAATTCTCCGCAACCTCCAAGGTTTCTCCTTGAATTCTTAGGGCTATGTTGAGATAATGCACCTTCCTAAGCATGACTTTGCACTTTGAAGGTGCAAGGAGGATGCCGAATGATACTATGATGGTGATCGGTTTATTCAACTGGGCTTATGCTTCGCCTTCGTTCTCAAAGTTGCAGATAGTGTCATCTGCTCAATTCAGGTTCACACCAGGAACAAGTGCAATAGCCAGATTTTGAAGACCTTGCAGCATTCGTATGTTCTGCCACCTGGAAACAGCTAAACTTACGGTCGTATTCATGCCACGACTGGATAATACTCCTTTCATCCAGGTTCTCCGGGAATGTGTTTAGATATCAACGAGCAGACAGGGGGAAGCCAAAATGTTGATACTTTGTATTAAAATTGTTCAGCTGTAACATCCTTTCCGTGCCTAGCTGCCCTGCCAACGGAAGGAGGCACGAGGGCTGGGGAACTGTCAGGTTGCCCAAACCTAGACAAGAGCAGCCTTCCGGACACAAATTATACGAATTACACTCATTTGTAAAACAGTTTTGTTTTGACGGGAGACTGACCTGGAACCCAGTTGAACCTCTCGTTTAGGATATTTCAGCCGGGTTTCAGGTGAGTCACCTGCCGAAACCGGATTTGTGTGCACGCTAATTTCGTGCAATTTGTGTTCAGGTAGAACATAAGGTTCCCGAAAGCTATGGGGACTTCGCCTACCTGATGAACCTTAAATCGAAGGGCGAAAACGGTTGGCGGCTGACAACGAGTTTTCAGCAACCTTGTGAGTAGTCTGATACGTTTATGACCGTAAGACACCTACAAGAATGCAGAACAACAGTCGCCCTGTGAAGAGCCCATCTGAAACCATGGAAAAGACTGGGCGCAGGGGGAACCTTCGCGGTTTCGTCCTATCAGCGTAGTCAACCAATGCTTAAAAGGTGACATACCTGGTGGGAATCGTCAGCAAACTCCTGATAGCCTTTAACCTGCGACCTTCTGGACAAGGGCTGATCACTTGACGGGTCAGCCTAGAGTGGCTGAATAGAAGTATGATTCAATCTCACTCAAAAAGGATATATCACCATTCATCCTTTAATTGGAGAAACCAAACCGCAGGAACATGTGTCGACCGGCCCTCGAGTAGCAGCTTCTTAGATGGAAGTTTCACTCACCTTGACATCTTCCTCTTAGTCACTCATAGATTGATTGTAGGTTGAGATGTTAATTTTATTTGAGGTCAGTGAATCACAAACTTTAATGTGACGACTTTAAATTCCTATTGTTATTATTAGTCATGTTAGCGACGTGATTTGACCCGTACAAACCATGTCCAGTCGAAACTGCACAGCGCCAGCAAACCGGTCGTGACCTGCAGAAGAGTTTTCAGCAACATTATGAGTAGTGTGTGACGTCCAAGTCCCATCTAACCCGCAAATGCTTGTGAATACAGTTCAGGTAGCAGATCAGGTTGGTGAAATCGTATGAAATGCACCCATTCGATGAACTACCAGAAGAATGAAATCGGTAGTGGGCTATGTGAGAAAAACGCATGCGTGAAGGTGCGGAGACTTGCCGAACAACTTCTATGACGGTCGGTTGGATAGGTGAGTAGGTGAGTTGGAATGATCATTTTCTTCTTACTTACTGGGGCTCGAGGGACGTCTGACTGGATTGCTGTTTGTCTGAATGGCAAAACCACGGAGTACCTCCATACTCAATAACTTCCAGTAAGCGAGGACAGCGATTTTTGGGGTAGTGTTGTGCCTTGGAATAGTCCCAGCTGGTGCGTCATTGCCAACCAGGCGACGTTATGTGTACTGACCGAGAGGCACTCTCTGAATGTTAGTTCATCATTGTTGATTGAGCACCTGTGGCTAAATGATAAGATGTGCAATTATTTCCCGATAAGTTTCGAACTCAAACATACGAATAATCCTTAAATCAAACGGCTTCCAGATGGTCCTAGGCTTTTCAGCTGGGACAAATTCTCATATGTGGGAAGACCTGTGTAGTATGGAGTTTTTTCGGACAAAGAATGCTTGTTTGTCAACAAAATCATCCATCATCAACTGGTCCTATTGCCTCGGGATCTTCAGTGTCATGATGTTCCAGTAAAACACAGCAAAATCGTCCGCCTACGCCAGCTAGCACCAGACACTGTACAATGAATTTGTGGACTCAGTTGGTCTTCTTTCTGACTACTCTAAACTGATTTTGAAGGGTTGGTTGATTCGTTGTTCTCATAGGTTGACAGAAGGTCCATCACCAGTCACCATTTATCGCTACTGTGATGACAAAAGCGAGTTAATTTGTGTTCTCAGTCAGACAAAGTGATCTGCCTCAGCATTGTTCTTAGTTTCTTCATTTCAAACATTCTTTCTAGTGTGACAGAAGACAAATCAAAATAGACAATACATGCTTCTTGGCCATTATGAATTTGAACAATGAAGAACGAACATCTTTCCATCAAAATTGTCATCTTTAACACCGAGGTTGGAAATGCTTCTGGGCAGTGATTTTCATTGGTCCAATTGCCATGTGACCTTGAGGAGGTCGTATAAATAAATATGTGACGATGGGCATGTCAGTTAACTGCAGTGGTTGCGGTTGTTCCTCTTGTAGGTGAGTTGTTGAATTGTTGACATCTTTGTTGAGTAGAAACACTGGTTAGAACATAGTGCCACATACGTATTACATTGATGTCCACTTGTTTGATTTCGCACGTGATACTTTTGGGCAGTTC